TGTTCGATGCCTTCTTAAACCGACCCGCGCGCTTGAAGCCATCGGGCGCGTTGTCGTGCGCAGGACGTGCCACCCATCCGATATTGTTGTCTGCGTAGAACGCGATGCGCGCCACACGGTCCGATTCGGGAAGAAGCTGTAGACCGTCGTCGTGGACGAAGATAGCGGAGGTGCCGCCCTGGCGGGCGTATGTCTGCATTGCCTTCTTGAGGGAGTACACCGATGGCGCACTGGCGTCGCGGGTGATGAAGCGTCGTCAGCCTGGACACACAACGTATGGATGTGAATGAAACGTACATAACCTCATTCAGACTTTCCTTGTACACCGGGAGTTCGATGGTGATATGTGGCAGATTCGCATCGACGTCCTTATTTGGTGCGGGAGGAATAGCCGAGTAGTACTTCGAGTTCTCATGGAACTGCGCCACAGGACCGAGTCTGCGGGCAGATCATGAGCGAATGCATAGCAACAAGCACAAAAGGGCGCACGTACACATAGGAGACATTAGTGACGATTTGTAGCGAGAAAAACTGTGAAATGTAAGGCGAACACGACATGAGCGAGACCACGGCGCAGTATAAGGAGGGCAGGTACATGCCAGGGAGACGCAGAACAGAAACGGGGCAGTGACGAGAAGGGCGAATCGCGTGTATGTACCGTCGAGCATGAACTCCTGGATCATGATGCTGACACCGCTGGTTATGAAGACTACGGACTATGCGTCAATATAAAATTAAATAGACGACATGTCAGGGGAAGCTTACAAACGGAAAGCGCCGCGCCAACACCAGAGTAGACTGGCGCAAACAGGCGGACGGACCGATGCGAAGGACCATGCGCCGTCTTCTCTACGTCGTTCTTATCCGACACGAAATAGCCGAGACCGCAGCTCCTCTTCTTCCTCTTCGGCTGGAGTTCCTTCTCTTTGGTGGGCTCCGCGACTTCTTTTCCGCTGACCGCATAAGACAGCTCGTTGAGGTTAGTGTGAGACGCGTCGGCCGATGCCACCACCGAGCCGGCGCGGGAGGTGAGGGTCGACCGGTGCTTCCACACAAGCTGGATCAGCTTCTCGTCGAGCTCTCTGCACGTCGCGATGATCGTGTCAAGCGAGTAAGACCAGACAATGAGGACGCGTTCGTCGCGCTGTACGGCGAAAGTGAGACCAGTGAGCAAATAATAATAATAATACAGGCCGCTGTATCACTTACGATGAAGGCGGCACACTGTTCCTTGTCCGCACGTAGCAAGAACGCAATCGAATCCAAAATCTGAATACGGGTATCCACATCGACGAAGATGGCATCTGCATCTATCTGGCTGTGCTCAAAATATAAATATACGTCAGTCGACAACCAGCGTTACAGGCGGGCTCATACGTCGTGGAAAGCGCGGCATGAATTGCCGCGCTGCGGATCTTGACAGCGACGACGGGATTGAGCGCTCTGACGGCAGCCTCAAACGGTTCAAGGTGCGGATTTTCGTATGGGAAGACACGGAAGCGGCCAGTGTTAATCCTCAAGCAGACACCGGCATGCACGTTCTCTGCGGAGGGTTTGAACCATGCGTCACCCTGGGTCTACACAGCAGGGACATCGGATCAGCTACCAGAATCGCACGCGGATGGATAATAACAATACTCACTTCCTTGAAGATGTGGTGGAGCAAAGCGTCATAAGCATCGTAATCCATAGCGAATTGTAGAAAATGACAGAGGAAACGCGTTGCTCAGGGAGAGACGTGGTCTGCTTTGGCATTTGTTGGATACAATCTTTATATCTGCCAGGTCGGCTCGATGATCCTGGTGGCAAGCCCAAGTAAGACAGGTGTGCAGGGAGCCTGTGTTCCTGAAAAAACGAAGTCGGAGAGACGCAACACGAATTGGGCAACTTGCGCACATCGATGTGTCCGTAACAATGTTAAAACAAGACATCCCTGTGAAAAGCCTGAGTAGGATAGACATGGCGGCGGAAGGTCTGCGTTCCTGGATGAAAGGCGTCAATGGCGACAGACGAGACAGGATTTGACAATTCGCGGGCAGGATTCTGGCTGGGCGTGCGTAGCAGTTCTGGATCGGGCACTAGTAGTCCAGCAACAACTCCAACTTACAAGACACTCTGTGGTTCAGGCAGGCACGGCACGGATAGATGTCGACATGCGTGGACTATCCCCGCGGTGTCTCAACCGTGTGCCCATACGTCATGTGCTTCGACGTTTAGGGTGTCACCGCGAGCATGGTATTCAGACTGCTCGAGAACAAACAGGCAGGGCAACGGGCCGGCTGGATTGAGCACTGCCAAACAGGCGTTGCACGGCGCTCAAGCAGCGCCGCTCTATGCGCACACCCGGAACGGACTACTTACCACAACAGCAAGCAAGGTGGCATAGATGATTGACGTAGGGCCCTTGATGTTACTACTATGCGACATGTTCATCGGACAGGTTGCAAGAAGGCAATATTAGCCATCGTATTTAGAGCAGCAGATACTAAACCCAGCACGGGCTGTATGCTCGCGCTTCGTGCTGCAGGGTCTGTATGTCATGATAAAATTCGCACACTCCATCGCCCCGACCGGATGGAGGAATAAGAAGTGAGAATGAACATTGCCGACGTCTGTACACTTCGTGAGTCGTGACGTACAGGAATGTTACTTCAATGTACGGTTTACGGGCGTTTGAGTTTGACTTGGCAAAAGGAGATTATCTCATTATGCTTTCGGAGCCGAGGCCGCCAGATAATAACGGTAGATACTAGGTAGGCAAAAAGCACAGTACTAGTGTTTGCAAGATCCATTGCTCGCTGCAGAGGTGCACGCTGTACACACCTGGATCATTTCTTTCTGAAGGACCTCGGACACCCCGATTGATTAATAACTTCCGTCCGCATATTGATTGGATTCATCGTCTGAGACAACATACAGTTCAAATATCTAGAGTGGAAATAGGCTAGGAACGCCGCTGGAGAGAGGTGTTGCCTTCCCAACCTAGTACCATAAGCGCCATCTGCCTGCTGTTCAGAACATATTTCCATTTGAAGTCATAAATCGAGTTTAGATGTAGTTTACACCAGTCTAATCGACGAACGTCGTCTCGCTAAGCCACGCGTGATCTCAGAAACTGAGACGCCGTCGATTAGATGGCCACAATGTCCGATCTTCCTAATATACAAGAGGCAATTTAGTATCTTCCGTTCCCGGGGAGGGTATTAAGTCTCCGTGTATTCGTCTCCAGTTGCCCTAGCAAATGAATATGGCCCACAATATAATGGTAGACATGGCAGGTCCTTCCAGAGTGACCCGAAGCTAACGAAGCACATTGTTGAATTGATAGATATGTGTACGTCTCCGCGCGAGCAAGATTTCACCGACACCCCTGGCGGCAGTTAAAGTGAGTTTCAGGCCGGGCCAAGTGCGGCACTAGGGCTTATCTACCTGCGGGACCAATTTGCAGATGGCGTATGTCGTAGTCTTCAATACACTGGCGGCCCTTGATCGACCACAGGTTGTTGACACGTATAAAACATTATACTCGATGAAGCCTATGTGAAAGAACGGACACCTTCAATTCCGACCGTGACAGTTTCAGCGAGGGCCGTGCTGCCGTTACAGGAAGGTCGATAGCCATCAACTGCACCGGGTCCGACTGCCCATCGGAGATGGTGCCGGCATCGGGATCCTCGTGCTTCTCCCTTATTGAGGTCTTTGGCGGATCACGCGCCATCTGTCACCGTTGCCCGAGTCCGTCCTCACCGGCACCAGTGACCACACATCTTCCTGCGTCTCCGGCCGCCCGTTCTGCGGGTTATTCGACAGCTCGTTCCCGTCTCTTGTGGTCATCAGCGTGTCGTGCCGTGACGATGCGGGGTGCTTCGGTGATGGCATCCAACTAGCCAAACGAGAACGGGTATGGGTACGGCTCGAAGAAGCTATGGAGCTGATATCACACAAGCTCTAGGGAGGAGAAATACTCTGCGAGGATTGTGTGATGTGTACCCTGACCACCGACATGTAGACACACCGCTAGAAGCACGGAAGAACAAAGGGCGGACGGCGCGTGCCCCGATAGGCGGACAAAAAGCGCACTTGCCGCCTCGGAAGCTACTGCAAATGGACACAGATACATCCGACTCGGAGCTCTTATCGTACTGCCCTTCCATTCTGACGTGCCGTTGGACGGTCTCGCGGCGACCCCGACGCAAGAGATGTGTTTTTACCGGCAAGTGGATGCGAGAAACGGAGAAGAGCCTCCACGTTCGTGCGCCGTTGATGCGCGGCCAACCCATACAAAATGTTGACAGCGAAGCACAGGTGCCAGCATCGTGACACTGAACCCTGCCTACATTCAGCTTATCGTGTTTATATGAGAACACCCTGCACGTCAAACCGAATAGCGCGCGGGATGTGGAAGACGCACGAGCAGCAGGCAACTCTCAGGTTTCGATATGTCAATGTCCAATGATGGCAATCCGAGTCGAAGGCGGTGGTCGTGAGATCTGATCGTGAGTGTATGATCGATCAGACGCCGCAGTGCAGGAACGAAACGGTGATGGCGCAATTATGTCATGGCTGATATAGGAGGGATATGTCTCAGTGAAGATGTCGGACTTTGTGAGAAGCAAGGAGACCAGTGACGTATGACAAGATCAATTTGACTATGTTCCCGAATCGGTACGCGAGACAGCGGACGGCGGGTCCGATATCGAGCGGACGTAAAAAAGAGACATGCGTGTCGCGTTTCACGCACATGTCTTGTGCAGAAAGCTCGGGAACAGAGAGAAACTTACTAGAAATGGATGCAGGCCGCTTCCCCGGCGCAAGCAAGCCGAATTGGCCATTTCGTGATTGGTCCCCGTGGCGATATTCGTGTGCTTCTCAGCTCCTCTGAGAGTGGCCTACCCGATGCATCTTGTCTTCACGCACCCGCATAACGTCTCTGGCGCTCGCGGCTCTTCTAATCATTAATCATTAATCATTGTCCGAGAACGACATGGCGAGGAAATGGAAAACCAAGAGAGCAAAAAGGTCTTGTCTTGGCGCACGAGGTGCTTCGGCGTCTTCTTCGTCCAGCGTTATCTCCTCTACTAGACGGGTATGCTAGAGTGTGTGGCCACGAGCCGATTGTGGATCTGTACGGTCCCGCAGCAAACCACGGTGTCATTGCAGCCCTCTTGCACTGTCGGCCAGCGCAATTCCCTCGGAAATCTCTCCCCGAGGAAATGCGTATTTAGTGTTGCCAATGTCTCTCATCGCTGGACCAAAGCCTCGTTGAACGCTCGTCGCTCGAGAAAATACACCAATCAATGCGGAATTGCACTGCGCGATCTGCGCAGATGGTACAATACACAAGAGCGGTAGGTGTATGCTGTGTAATCAGACAATGAGTCCAAGTAGAGACGGTGTCGGAGAAGGAGTGATACAACGGTACAGGCAGCAACAATAGCGCAGGGGCACGCACACAGCACAGGATAGATAGATTATTGCACAGTATACCCTTAGCCTATGTATAGTCTATAAGTTCCAGAAACATCTAGCAGCGTTCACACACGTAAGGACAGGAATGGACCATGGCGAACACCGCGCATGGCGCAGTCTACGGCCGGAAATCGTGTTTTCTCAATACGAAAAGATCATGAGCCACGGGTTGAGCACGACCTGAGGGAAGCGATCGGCGTCAGTTGCCATCGCACACACATGTAGCACAAAACGCACGGGGTACAGGATGTGGCAGCCGGCGACGATGCTATGGGCCAATATTAACATTTAATCGGCTTGCAGATGGAGTGCGAGGCGGACACTCACGCTAGCGGGAAGATCGCCGCCCAGTCCCAGCCGGGAATCTGCCATCCCGAGGGAATGACGCCGAGCGAGAGGACGACCATCGCGGGGCACAGCAAGAACGACACGGCGAAGGCGGGCCCGAAGCGGGCGAAGATGCGCGGGACCTCTTGCCAGAAGTTGGAGCGCTCGACCTCCTTCTTGGTCGCGCCCCAGGTGATGTTGTACGAGACCAGGTGCGCGAGGAGCGCCGTGGACAGGTGGATCGAGATCCCGCTGAAGAAAAAGAAGCTGCGGGGGCGCGTCGCATCGGTTAGGGTGTGCACGACGGAGAGAGTGAGGAGAAGAACCGGCGGCGGAGAGACGTACAAGAAGGGCACCCAGGTGAGGTTCTCAACGAGTGCGCTCAGGAGCGCGCGCTGGCCGAGCCGGTACTCGAGCAGCGTGAAACCAAGATTGCCGGCCCCGGGAAAGACGACGGTACACGCGAGCCAGATCTCGAAGCTGTGCTCGTAGAACCCATCAATCTGCACAAATCGTCAAACATTTACAGTCGGGTGCTGATCCACCATACCCACCGTGACACCCCACCCCAACAGAAAGTAGTTCATCGTGGCTAGTAGTGCGGCTGCAGCGATACCATCTGCAGACAGGGCATGAGAAGATGACACAGGTCGTCATGTTCAATACAGCTCACAGTACGAGAACATGTCTGAACAACATCGTCAGCAGTCATGATACGCCGCAGCAGAGACATATTACACACACGAAAGCATGCTGAATTTGTAGTGGACGGGTGCGGCAGACCAGATGAAGATCCGCAGCTGCTTGTTGATTGGGCCCAACCGCCACCAGTGGATGAGCGGATTGAAGATCAGCTCGTTGCAGCCTGCAACCGCATTCAGTATCCGTAAATGACCGGACAGGATCCAGGATGAGCTCACCATAAGCATACTTCTGCCATCGATTCAACTCGTCATCGCATGTCAGCGACACTCCCTCCTTGAACCCGCCCTCCGAGTACGTCGACCATCGAATGATGTATCCCTTCAGCTGCAATCGCAGCGCCATGTCAAAGTCCTCCGACACATTCGCCTCAGACCAAATCTTCCTCACCCCGTCCGCAGCATCGACGAACGCCGCATCCTGTAGCGCAGACCACCGCAGGAACGCATTGTGCCCCACAAATGGCGCAACCTCCCCATTCGCACACCCCATCGAGATGCACTTGTTGATCCGCCGCGTGAAGTGCGCGATCCCGTTCTCGAAGTAGTGGTGCGCTACCTGCATCACGTCCGACTCGTGCTGGATGATCGCTACCTCGGGCGACTCGTACAGCTCGCGCGCCGCGTCGCGCAGGCAGTCCTCAGGCACGACCGTGTCCGAGTCGACGATCAGGATGATCTCGCCGACGCGCAGCGACCTGCCGTTGCGCGCCCACGGCCGCCAGCGGTGCCCACTCTCCTCGAAGGTCTCCTCGATGGCCTTGTTCATTGCCTTGTCCTCCAGACACTCGCCGTCCTCCGTGAGCGCATCCTCGCCGCCGCGCGACGCTGCCTCCGCTTCGAGTGCTAGGAGGTGCTTCTCGAGCTTGAGCGACAGCGCGAGCCCGTAGTTCATGTTCGATGCCTTCTTAAACCGACCCGCGCGCTTGAAGCCATCGGGCGCGTTGTCGTGCGCAGGACGTGCCACCCATCCGATATTGTTGTCTGCGTAGAACGCGATGCGCGCCACACGGTCCGATTCGGGAAGAAGCTGTAGACCGTCGTCGTGGACGAAGATAGCGGAGGTGCCGCCCTGGCGGGCGTATGTCTGCATTGCCTTCTTGAGGGAGTACACCGATGGCGCACTGGCGTCGCGGGTGATGAAGCGTCGTCAGCCTGGACACACAACGTATGGATGTGAATGAAACGTACATAACCTC